TATGCTGAATATGAAAGCTTAGGAAACTCCACGCACGAGCGATCAGGAACGATCGCACGCGACCTTATCACGCGTGAGCGTCTTATTGTCGCGTGCGCACGTATTGTCTCTCTCTCTCTCTCTCTCTCTCTCTCTCTCTCTCTCTCTCTCTCTTGCTCTTATATATTACAGGTCGTAAACAGCATTGGTTATATGGGACATACGGCGGATCATTCTTTGGTTTCATTTTTCTAATCAATTTTAAAGGTGAAGGCGAAGGACTCGCATGTATACGCTCCTAGCCTTTCAAATCGTCGTAAAAGCGCTGTAAAGGTTCGAAGTACGACTCCTAAGATCAATGATAGAAATCTATAAGAAGATTATCTAATTTTATTGTATTTACAAATAATTCTTTTTTTTATATACGTATATATATATATATATATATATATATATATATGCATGTATATAAAGTTGCATCTTTTTAAAGAGAACGTCTAATTTCATTTTTTCTTTTCATAAATATAATGCATCGTGTATGATTATATGATAAATTATAATAAATAACAATAAATGTGATTAAAATTGTTACCGTGAAAAAAATTAAATAAATTAATAATTAAACTAATTTAGTCTTCTTTTTTTTTTGTTTTGTTCTTACGAATTAATATAATAATTAAGTAATTAATAAATATACTGGATTATTGTTAATGGATCGAATTCATTGTTAAAAATTGTAAACATTAATTAAAAAGACTATATTTCTTTTATCTTTATAAATATGTACTCGTATTATTCTGATCAATCTCCATCCTTGTATCTAATGTTAAAGGAAGATGAAATCGTACGAGTTTGATTCAGGTCAGTAATCACAGCATGACCTTTTTGACACGCTCATTAAATCCAAACGTTTAAAGGAAGTCCGAGGATTCTGAAATTCGGTGAGGTACTCGTAGATATATATTTAGTAACGGTAACTCTCTCTCTCTGTATCTTTATCTTTCTGTCTCTTTCTCTCTCTCTCTCTCTCTCTTTTTCACTATCTATCGCTCTGTCTTTCTCTCCATGGAGACATTTAATGATCTCTTTATATATATATATATATATATATATATATATATATATATATATATATATATATATATATTTAGTAAGATAAGTAGAAAATATCTCTGTCTCTCTTCTTCTTCTTCTTTTCCTTCTTCTTGCAATTTTAGTTGAGACTGGAAAATAATTGTCATCGTTATTGCATGCACGCTCGTAGAGAAGAAAGTAGTAGATACAAAACGTGTTGATGATCGTCGTCACACATGCATGTCGGAGTTCATTAAATTAAGTTGCATTTAAGATAAGAGAGAAGTGTAAAAAAAAAAAAGGAAAGAAAAAAAAACAGATTCATAATATCTGTAATTGATGTTTTGCTAAAAAATAAAAATTTTTTATATCGATACAATAAATATATCGTGAATGAAGTTTTTACTTTAACGATGATAAGGAAGAAACGAAGTTGTGAAGAAATTAAAAAATGTATTTCTAAAATTTTTTTATATCCAATCAAAGCTGTATCAGTACAAAATAAAAAAATGTATTGTCGTTCGTAATCTAACGTACATAACAGAGTCCATTTTTGAATGATAAATACTATTTTTTCTGTTTCTTTTTTCTCTTGTTTTTCTTTTTTGTTGTTTTTTTTTTTTTTCATTTTAAATCAAATAATAATCATAAACGTTTTAAATTGCAATTGTTTTCCTTATTGATCGCTGAAACGAACGATCATATATCATCATAAAATTGCACCCATTATTTCAGTACATCGAATATCACAACAACTACATACACATATAATATATACATATACATATACATGCATATATATATATATATATATGTGTGTATTATATAAACCCTATGTTGACATTACTTTTTCTTTTTCATTCTCGATGCACCGGATGCAACGACATGGAAAAGAAGGAAGGAAGAAAAGAGGCCAAACTCGGGTCGTATCTCCCGCGTAGTGGAACGAATTCCACGCTAGGCCACCCTTTTAAAAAGCCGGAAAAAAGTATGTCTGTATGTATGTGTATGTGTGTATGTATATGTGTAAAAGAGAATGAAAAAGAGAGAGAGAGAGAGAGAGAGAGAAAGAGATAGACAGATCTACGTGAATTTATTCGTGAAAGATTTTCAACACATAGAGAGACAAAGATGGAGACTCGCGCTCGTCGTCTTTTAAATGACATGCCAGGAGCATTCGCAAAGTGGAGCAGTAATCGGATGTACCGTAATAACTCAAATAAACTCTGACTAGCGAAGCTCTCTTTTTCTTCTTCTTCTTCTTCTTCTTTAAAAAAGAGAGAGAGAGAGAAAACATCTTGCGAATCGCTTCTGGTATTTTTCCTCTTACTCTCTCCCCCCCTTCGAAATCGATTCTGTTATGCTTCCAAGCTCTATTACGGCAATAAACTTACGATCTAACGAAAGTGTAAATAACGTGGCTACAACCACGTTTTTCTTTTTTCCTTTTCCCCCTTTTCTTTTTTTTTTTTTTGTATTACGATTTTATTCCTGTAAAAAAGAAAAAAAAAAAAAGAAAAAGAAAAAAGAGAGATAAGAAACTCATACGCATTTACTCGTAACAACTACATCTCTTTATAGAAGTATAACACATTTTTCGCTTTCTACCCCGACTGACTATTTACATTAATGTCCTTATCAATTTGTTTATCTTTCATTCTGATAATATTTAAAATATATTACGTTGTTACGATCTTACCGTGATTCTTGAAATCAGACCTTTTTCTCTCGTGTATTTTACTATAAACTCTCTATTCCCCTATCACGCACTATTTATAATTATAATTTTATCAATTTATATAAACGAAATGAAAATCAACGAAGACGATAACTTCATCCGTGATTCTTTGTGACGATGATATGAGATAATAAATGATTTATAATTATAAAGACGAAAGAAATAATTACGTCCAAACGTACACACTTATTTTACGTTTAATGTATTATTTTTAAAAAAATGAAAGAATACGTTCATTAAAACTATTATTAATAATATCGTAAGATTGGAATTAATCGATATACGAGTATGTAAATGTTGTAAAAAAAAAAAAAAAAAAAAAAAAATGAGAAAAGAAAAAAGAAAAATGGAAAAATGAAAATATTAAAATAGAAAAAAAATTGAAGTAGACGGAAATATATAACGGACGTTGCATAAATTTTAGGCGCGAAAGTAAAACCAGCCGGAAGTAGAAGCGAGAGGAAGCGAGCCACATGAAGTATATATCTATGAAACCGTACCAACGAGCTGCCCTCAACTCGCGAAATCGATCCGCGGCCGGTCGCATTTACTCGGCCCTCGAACCTGCGGTTTCGAGGCGCGACTATATACAAACTTAAATCTCTGCTCTCTCTCTCTCTCTCCCTCTCTCTCTCTCTCTCTCTCTCTCTCTTTCTCTTTCTCTAGCTCTATCTTTATCTACATATATACATATATATATATATATGTGTGTGTGTGTGTATATATGTATATAAGGGTGAAACCATTATCACATACATTCCGAGTCCAATAATCTTAATTAGCTGATATATGCAAAATTTATTTTTATACTAACAATGTTCCATGAATTTTTTTTTTTCTTTTAATTATTTTATAATCAATTTTGTTTCTCTTTTCTTTTCTTTTCTTTTTTTTTTTTTGCTATACATAAAAGTTTAAAAGAATTTAAAAGAAAAATTAAATATTTCAATTTAAAGAAGTTCAAACGCGTTAGATAAATCCCAAAATCAATTTCCATGATTTTCCAAGAAAACATGTATCAACATTTATTTTGATCTGTCTACTCAAGCCATAATCTACTATTTATCTACGAAATAGATTACGTGATCGTTAAATAAAATCTCTTATACGTGTGTGTGTGTGTGTGTGTGTGTACATTTGTTAAAAATATAAATATTTGAATCTTAAATGACAAATAACATCAACGTGATACCAACTTGTCTGTATAAAAAAAAAAAAAATTGAAATATCGATTGAGTAATGTTCTATAGTCAATTACATTGATTATGCGTATAAAATGTTTCAAAACTGTTGATACAATTTTTACGTGAAAAAAAAAAATAAAGTATGCAATGCAATATTTTCATATGAAACATATCTGTCAACAATCTTAAACAATTAATTTCTGAAGAAATAAAAAAAGAAATATATTTATACAATATCCCATTAATTTCTACATATAAAGAAGAAAAACAAAATTAAAATTGATTGCCATATCGTAAATATTGATTTTTTAATAAATTCGATTTTCTCAAAAATGAAGTATCGCACATAAAAAATATTTCCTCTAACTTTCGACTTAATTTATCACATGGAATAACAAAACATAAAAATATTATAAGATTGAATAGACGAGCCTGCTATCGAGCTTATCTTATACGATAATTTTTTAATTAATTAACCATAGCTCAATGGCGAAATAATTCATAACTCTAACGTTATTATGAATATTTATTATACAGTCCATCACTTTCTAACGTTTCTAACTAACATAAATGGAGGATTGGTAGATGCAGCTAAAGCAGTGGTATAGTTGGCTCTATAACGAATTATTCAGCACACCTACAAACATTCGCTGGTGTGTTTGCTTCGTAGGGAAGATCGATCGACTTTCAAATAACATTCTAACAACGTTACCAGTTAATAATAGAAATATAGAATACGATACACTGCCTTTTATATTCTCTCTCTCTCTCTCTCTCTCTCTCTCTCTGTCTCTTTCTCTTTAATGATTACAATCAAACACAGTATTTCCTTATCTATTTTCAACTTCCTAAATATTACCAGCAGTAAATATATGATTTACCTCTTTCATGCGGTAAAAAAAAAAAAAAAGTAAGAACGCAAACGACCTAACGCACACCCATATAAAATTTAAAATAAAAGAAAACAAAAATAAAAAAAAAAGACAAGAAATATAATAAATTACAGCTGTGTAATTGGTACTCACGAGAATCGGAAATAACAGGATCAACGAAGATTCATCGTCTTTAGATCATCTTCTTGCGATTGATTGCATCGATTGGATTTAATTTGTAGGAAAAACCATAAGATAAAATATATCAATTTCTCTCTCTCTCTCTCTCTCTCTCTCTCTCTTTCTCTCTCTCTCCCTCTTTCTCCCACCCTCTTTCTGTCTTCGTCCTTTGCACACAAATTCACAAAAAAGTATTCGTTATGTCTCTTCACCAAAACACAAGGAAGGAAAGAAAAGAAAAATATGAAGAAAAAAAAGAAGGAAAAAAAAAGCCCCCTCAAAAAAAAAAAAAAAAGAAGACTGAAAAAGATTGATGATCGATGATCGACGATCGAGAATTTCAAATGCGACACGCGTATTGTATTCCGATAATATCTCGAGAACGGAAGTTACGGAAGGAAGAAGAAGGAGGAAGGAAGGAAAGAAGGAAGGAAGGAAGGAAACAGAAGAGTATGTGAGAATGAGAGAACAGGACGGATGCGGTAAATGCGGAACGTGAACCTCGATCGATGTCCGTGCGCAGACTGCCGGCTGCTCGGCTCTGCCGCGCTTTCCTCCTGCGCCGCTCCCCTCCCTTACAGTCTGACATCCCCCCACTCTTTCTACTCATCGACTACGAGTACTACAACTGCGTATATATGGCATATATGTATGTTTCTATCTATGTATATGTATATATGTACATATGTATATGTACGATGCTGCTTCCCTATTATCCCTCCTCCCTTTGAATCGCCAAAGCTCTCTAGGGCCAAGGACCGACTAAGACTTCGACCTATCGATTAAACTAACCACTTTACCTACCTCTTTTCTATTTTTATTTTTTTTTTTATTTCCTTTTTTAATCATTTTCTCTACAACAATTAAACGTCGACAATTATGACCAGTTGAAAAGAAATTTTCTCTTCGCGTTCCCTTTTCGAAGGATTTCTTTTTTTTCTCTTCTTTTCCCCTCTATGAATAATTACACGAGCGTCGTTGTCTTCTTCACGTCATTTATTATCATCATGATAATTAAGATGATGTTTTTTATTTTTTTTTTTTTTAGAAAATTTTATCCTCTCATCTCGTTCCGTAAAGATATTTCTATCTTTACGATAAAGGATACTCTAGGAAAATTTATGGATAATATTTTTATCTTCTTTAGATGATTATTTTCACTATGACAATTAAGATGAATTTTTTAGAAATAATTTTTGGTAAAATTTCTTTTGTTCTATATAAGAATTGCTATAAAAAGAATTGTTTCCGGTTGAATATAAGATGATAGGCTTTTACAAAGTGTTCTCGTAAAATACATCATCGTCTTCTTGCTATTCGTCCACCCGCATGTCGTCTCGTGTTATGATCACACGATACTCGTGTAATCTTATTTGCAAACCCAGCCCGGTAGTCCGTGTCTCAAAATTTATGCGTCTCTGTGAGACTTAGCGAGTAAGACTAAAAGAAAAGATTAGGAATGGTAAAAGTTGATCTATTTTTATCTATCGAAAGAGTTCTATAATCATCTTAAGCCAGTGGAAACATACTGCGGCATCTTTGAATTTTGAAAATAATTTAGGGATTTCAATTTAATTCATTTCGTTGAAATAATTAAAAGAATATCAATTACACGTGAAACTATTTATTTACGTTCCTTAATGTAAACATAAATCCAATCTAACTTTCATTAATTAACTCGCTTTATAAAATAATTTTTTCTTTTTATTATAATAATAAATAATCATACAAATATTCATTAAAATTAAATAGCCTATCTATATTTTGATACTATATTAAAAAAAAAAAAAAAAAAAAAAAATATCAAATTTGTTTATCCTTATTGTTACTATCAAAAATTTTTTATACAACAATCAATGATCATTGTACTGTTTAACATTAATCCAATGCCACACATATATCTATGTCTATACGAAATATAATAAAAAAAAAAAAAAAAAAAAAAAAAAAAAATATATATATATATATAAAATTTATTTTAACTTATAAAATAAACTTTTCTACGATGAACAGAAATGATTATTTGAAAGAAAAATTAAAAAAATATATTTATCAATTGTTCACTTAAAATAGATTATTCTTTTTTTTTTTTTGTTCTCTCGTCGAATATTCTTTCAACAATACAAGCGTTTGAGGAGATCGAAAAGCCCCGATTGCGCCTTCATTAATTGTCCCACGTGACTTGCTCGTTGATTAACGTCGAACCCTCCCAGTCGTTTTCCATATAATCATTCTCTTTCTCTCTCTCTCTCTCTCTCTCTCCCTCTCTCTCTTTCTCTTTTCCCCTCTTTTAACTTCTATCGAGCCCTCTTTTGCTTACGCGTCCTCAATCGAGGGAACAAAATAGAGCAGTCGAAAAGGACTGTCAATTCTGCGGACTAACTCGATACCTTTTCGTGAGAATAAACCTCCATCGAAAGGAAGCTTTGAAGAGAAAAAAAAATTGCGACCGTCTTTCGAGAACGAACATCGAGAGAAGAATTGTCACGAGAGCTTCTAATCGACGACGCCTCTCTCTCTCTCTCTCTCTCTCTCACTCTCTCTCTCTCTCTCTCTATGTATATATATATATATATAATGGAAATCTAAAGCCGAACGAAATGTCCTCGACTTCGATCTTTTAACTATTTCCTATTTCTTCAATAGACGACCTTATCCTCTTATCGAATGCACTTAAAACGATTTTTCTTCAATGAAACTATCAAAGAAGTTTATACGCTTAGCATGGATAATGACAAACCCGATTGATCCATTCGATAGATCGGAAATTCGATTAGTATGAATGTAATTCAACTTGTATAAAAAAAGAAAAAAAAAAAAAAAAGAAATAAAAGAAATATCCCTATAGGTACTATGAATTTTATTTTTTTTTTATATACCCAGCTATATGTAATGGACAAATACGATATGTCTTACGAATGTAATGCAATTTGTATATATATATATAAAAAGAATTAAAAAAAAAAATTTCAGTTTTAAAAAGTATTTATAAAAAATTATTTTCCACGTATTCCTAATAGCCCTTCTAACTACTTTAATCTGATATAAATCATGATATAATATAAACAATTGTCTTCAACTGTTCAAATAAATGAGAATGTTAGTCCATTACGAACGATTTTGAAACTCTTACAACGTCCTGTTGTAACTAGAAACGATCTGAATACTAAAATTTGACGTCGAATCGAACGAACCATTCTTTTCGATGTACATAAAAGAAACAAAGAAAAGAAAAAAAGGAAAAAGAATAAAGAAAAAAAAAAAAAAAAAAAAAGAAAGAAAGAGGACCAAAAATTTAGTTTACCGATCGACGTATACGTTACTTCGGGTTCGAGTTCAAGCCCTTTTTCTTTTTCCCACTTCGAAGAGACAAATGTACGTCGCTTTTGAGTGCAATGCCCGGAATCTTAACTACCTGCTCGTCTTGTATTCAGGTGCGTTCGCAACTCCAATCGTATATACGACCTTTCGTCTATGTCGAGTATCTTGCGCGTGTATAGTTTCGAAAATGGATCGATCATCGATCTTTTTCAACTTTTTATCGATCCCTCGTAAAACGGTTAGAAACATTTGATTTAGATAAAACATGATTCCAATGCATTAGAAGGAAAAAGTATCGATATCGCGTTACGAATTTATTTTCCAAAAAATGTTACATCTAATATTACGTCGATTTATATGGAAAAAAAAAAAAAAAGGAGAAAAAAATTAAAAATTAATATGTTCAAATTCGTGATTCAAACGTGAAGCTAAAAGTTTCGTAAAATTTTCAAATATACATAATTTTAATTAGCATCAAATTAATAAATGCGTATGCTTTTTAAATATCAAAATTTTCAACCACTCCAAAACCAAAGTAATCAACTTTATAATTATTATGTTACAATCTAAAATAATTGTTCTTTAAAGTTTTCTTTACTAATCTTTTTAATTATTCTAAAACATAAGCTACATGTGAAATATAATTCAACAATAATAAATATATGATAATAAATTATGAAGATAAATTAATATTAATTATACAAAATTATTATCATTATGAATAAACAATTTGGTTTTCTGAATGGCTCCAATGCAGCCAATTAGCTCGATAGTACTTGCGTTGTTAACGATATTATAATATACACCTAATACTTCATTCATACGATAGATTATATTTTAGAAAAATATCCGTCAAATAAAAGTGTAAAAATAAAATTGCATTTCTTTTCTAAACTTTGTCATTTTGTAATGTCGTGTAAAAAAAGAATTAGGTACATATTTTGTTACAACGAGAGTAATATCGATAGTCCAGGTCTCACCACGTGGAGGTTGCTGCATACGGAGACCCATAATTGTTAATAAAAATTTAATAACAAATCAGTTATATTAATCTCTAAACGTACAGAATATAAAGACCAATGAAGAAGAGAGCTAACAATGTTATTGAGCATCTCACGTAGTAATAAAATAAGAGAAGAGGACAGACACTCTTTAACCTCTTGAATGTTTTGTTTACGTTTTCCAAGGAAGATCGAGTTTCCGGAACTCCAAGTAAGAAAGACACAACTCAGACTCTCAATGTCATCGTTCTATACGAGTCCTTCAAATCTAATGTCATGTTGTGTCAACAAAAGAACTTCCTTCGCACGAGACGATATTGTAACATAAAATATTTCAAATGTCATTTGAAAATATTCTACGCTAATAATATATGAACGTAAATCAAATAATGACTAATTTTTCATGTTAATTGATTTTTATGATTTACGATATAACATAAATCAAAACATTTTAAATAATGATTTATATAAAAAAAAAAACAAAAAAAATAAAAAATAAAAAAAAAACAACAAAAAAAAAATAACGCAAATAAGAATTTACTAAACTATCATTTATTCATATATGTGCGTACGTAGATTTATTTTACAACGAATTAGAAAAATTAATTAGAAAAAATTAGATAAAATTCTTGAGACATAAAAAAGAAAAAGAAAAAGAAAAAATAAATAAATTTCATTTGAACAAATAAAATCTCAAAGGTTCATCGAAATGATCTTGACGTCAATGATCTCGATTGCTTAAGAGAAACTTTAAAGTGTATGAGCAATAATGTGACAGAAAAGATAAAAAGAGCTTAAATAATTGGCTAGTAACAAACGCACGAGTACTATTCCCACGCTTTTCTTCTCCTCTCATCATTTCGTTTCGTTTCGTATCGTTTCGTTTCGTTTCGTTTCGCGAGAAGCGATGCGACGCGAAGAGTAAGATGAGAGAGAAAAGACTGCTCGTTTTAGTAGGACTACACCGCAACATTTTTGCGGTGCTTTTATGTCTTAATTTCCTTTCGAACCCTTCCCTCCCTCCCATCCTGCCATCCTTTCATCCACCGTAAGAGTCTATTTATAGTAAGCACAGCTTCTCCACTTAGCATCTTCCTCTGCGTTCCGGCGATACTCGAGAGAAGTCTAAGATCTTCGAATTTCTTCGTAGAAAATACTATCAACGAAATTCTATGAGAAACAGAAACAGAGACAGAGACAGAAACAGAGACAGAG